ATCTGTAAACAGCTATATATATATATTGTATATTTGCTATTTTTACTTTTCTAACATTGTTTTGGTGATATTATAATCCTTAAACACAAATGTAATTTATCAACAAAAATGAAAAATAGTTATACTTAAAACGAAACGTATGTGCTGAAATATTTTATTTAATTTAATCTTCGTTGTCAGTATGCCATGACAAACGTTCTTCGTAGAACTTAATAACCATTTGTGGTATTTTTAAATTAACCACAGATGCAGGAATCATTTCGGCTTGATCGACTTCTCTAAACTGAATAAAAAAAGTTACTGAACCATTGGAGTCTGAGGCACCAAGAATTTTTTCAGCAACTTTATTTTTTCAGACCTTTATCAAAGCCATACACCTCATTTTGCCGTACAAACCCATCAGGTTTTGCATCCTTTTCAGATTCACGACGCTTCTTCTTATTTGCTGAATTGCTGCTACTTGTGCCGGAGTCTTTAGGTTCACGCTTGTTGCTGGTCGAACTGGATGGACGATTTGACGTGTCTTTTGCTTCAGACTTTTGCCTAGCACCGGCTTCATCCTTTGTACGTTCGGCCTCATATTGTTCTATTAAATCTTGACAATATAAATGTTTTTCAGGCTCCCAAGTATTCTCTTCCTCAGAATATCCTTTCCATTTTAGAAAATACTCAAACTTGCCTTTTCTGACACGACGACCGCATATCTTTTCCACAACATATTCTTCTTCTTCCTCGTCTTCTGATACCTCGACATTATCATCAGTAGCTTTTGAATTAGTAACTTTTGCCTTCTTACCTCCTTTCATCGTAATTTGCTATTATTTTTTAGATTTTAATAAATTAATTTATTAAAAATTCTTAAAAAAATATAATCGCTCCAAATGAACTCAAATGATAAATTAACCAAGCGACGCTATGCATAGATACACAGCTATGCATTGCAAATATGAGTGTTGGAAAATGTCAACAAAATAAAATTAGGCTATGTTTAATAAATTTAAAAAATAAATGCCAACTTAAATTGTTTTTCATCTATTATAAAATCGTACACTAGGCGTATATTATACTATAGTAACCCTTCTAGCCCGTTCAAGCAGGAACTGATTCATTGCAATATATAGAAATATCGCAGTTAATAAAAATAGGCATTACAGCTGGTCATTTTGCTTAATTGTAATTAATGAAACTAAATGAAATTTAGTTACTACTTTGCTAATTACATATTTCCAATTCAACACAAATTGTTTAAAAATATAATATTTCATTGTTAAGGTGTGAAAAAAGTAATTAGAAAGAAAAATTATTCCTATATTAAATATTTTTAAGATTTATATAGATAAATGGATTAAATGAATTGTATGAAACCAGACAGAGATTGATTGAAATTAAAAAAAAAAGATAATTATTCTAATAATGTCAAAAGAAAACAGTTTTTAATATTATTATTAAATAGTTAAAAAGAGATGTGGATTACATAAAATATAAAAAACCATTAAACGAGTGCTTAATATTAAATGGAAAATTATTCTTACAATGCCAAATGTACACAAAAATGTTTTTGATATTGGCTTTTGATATTGTTATGGTTTGTTTAATACTCTCATTCAAAGTATTATATATTACATATTTTTTATTCCAATTAAACATTTTTTCTTTTTATTTTAAATAATGTGTGTATACATTTTTTCCGTGTTTTCGAAACAAACTTTTTTCTATTAATTCAAATTAATTGCATTTGTTCTAAATACCTTTTGGCTGCAATTATATTACATGCGAATTTTTCTTACGTGCTTGTACGAACAAATCAAATGTTTGTACAATTTTTACTATTGCTGAGAACAATTCGCGCGATGTGTTGTCTATCGTGCGAATATTTTAATAAAGAAACTATTTTGTTTGATATATGCTGAACAAGACACCAGCATACATCACACTTCTCCGGTAATGAAAAGCGAAACAAAATCGCAATCGAGACTATCAGCAAGGTAACGATGATAGATCGCTCCAAACATACGTGCTGAAGAATCAGGAATAGAAATTTACATTTTGGTTCCCATTTTTTTGTAACAGAAATACACATTTCGATTGCATG